CTTAAATGGGTTTTCTTAAGGTGGGATAACTGGAATTCATAGATTGAGGAAAGGTTGGTCAACAAGGATGTTTTTTCAGCCATGGTTTGCTTTCCTTTGTGTTTAGAACGTCCACCAGGCTATGACCGAGTGAGGAACGCTGAAATTGGCAACAAAGACTTTGAGCTTGATGTTTTGGAAGAAGCTTACACCACAGAACATTGGCTAGTTCGAATATATAAAGTAAGCCGACTGTATTCAATCATATACTTTGGGGGGGGGGATTGATCATAACTGGGAGTTGATGTGTACAACTTGATGAGTCCTCAACTACTGACCACAATTAAGAACAGAATTTGTTAAGTGAGTCATGCCTGATTCTACAACCTTTTTTTGGGGGGGGGGGGCGCTATAGCTGTTAAGCAAATTCATGCAGTTAAATGAATTGTAATGAAACTAAACCTTCCCCCGTTGACTTTGCTTGTGGGAAGCTGGCGAAGAAAGTTGCAAATAGCTTCTTGTTTTTTTTCCGGTTTTTATTACCCTTCTACTTATAAAACTGAAAGAAACAAACTACCCTCCCCCTAAAAATTAAATTTTGTTTTAACAGGTAAAGGACTTGGATAATCGTGGATTGTCAAGAACGTAACTGGCCTTCAGATGTACCATAATACGCACTGATCGAGCCTTTGTGAAACAGATGGTTTTTATACTCTTTGTCAGCATGGAATTGGGACTTAATTGCCCAAGGAATCCCATCTTCATGTAATGAACCTGTATTATGATTTTTATAAATATGAACCCGCTACCAAATCAGAAGGAGTAGCTTTATGAAAGGATATTAAAAGGGTGTGGAAAATGTGGATTCCTGTTCATTTCTTTCTACCTCGTCTCTTGAGCATTCACAGTGGTAGTTGAAATCAGTTTTTTTTACTCTGTTGCTCCCTAAACTGCAGCTAGATCCAGTGCAATAGATCTAGATCAGCGGCCCCCAATCTTTTGGGCACCAGGGACCAGTTCCATGGAAAAGGTTTTCTCTGCGGACCCAAGGGGGCGTGGTTTTGTGTGCTGCCTGCATCCCGCGGATGGGACTTCGCTTGCTTGTGCAGACCGGTTGATGGCATGCTGTTGGACCAGTGCTGGTCCAGGGACCTGGGGTTGAGGTTGGGGACCTGATTCAGATGATCCAAATTTGAGAGCTGATTTAAATGAACAAAATTTATAGCTGCTCAGAGTGACCTTAAGATGGTCAGCGTATCAATTTTATAAATAAATAAATAAATAAATACAATTTGTATCTCAAGAGAGTGCCAGCAATTGAATTACTTCTCCCAACTTGTTCTAACTGGATAAATTATGAAAACTAGTTTTTCAGAAATTTTAGGTGTGTTTTAAAGAAGGAGCTATGTGATTGAAGGATGCTCCTGTTTTATTTTTGATAAAAATAAAATTGGGGGAAAATCTGGAAGAGTGTGGCTACAGTATATATTGCATTGTATAAATCTTAGAACATTAAAATGAAATAAGGGCTTATAGCTGCAGGAATTAAAATCCCTGGTCGAGATTGCATTTGATATTGCCCAGCAGGCTGCTGCAATAAAGGAAATGCAAGTTATTGGCATGGAGTGATATTATTTTATGAAGTCTGCCACTTTCCTGTCCCAGCTGTAGGCTGCTTTTAAACAAAACACTAATAATAGGGGTCTGAGCATGTTATAGAGGTCTGAACAAGTTATATAAGCCTTCAGAAATGTTTCCTGATTGCTTGTGAAAATAATTTCGTAAGCACTTGTATTGACAAGCCCAAGCAACACACATCTTGGCTTTGCACATAAAATATTCCTTGCACTTCAGGACAATTTGCACCAGACTTTGTATCTTTGGGGCAAGCCAAACACATCTCTTGGAATGATCACCTCTGCCTGCTTTACTTGCTTTACCACCTGTCCTGTTCAGGAGTTTCCAATCCATATAATGGGAAACATGATGAAAGCGTGGAAGAAATTCCCTTGCCCCCCACCTTTTCAAAGAAATTAACCTAGAAACAAAAGCAGAACATTTATCCCAGGTACCTTAAAACCAAACAGGTTCTCCTCAACCACCTAACAAGCAGCAATCCTGAGATTTGGAGACTGGGATGGTGCCCATCTCCTGGGAAGTCATTCTTGGGTGCTCCAAGGCATCCTGCTCAGATTAGCGCAGGGAATTTTCCACCTCCTCCGAAAGGGGAGACATTCTAGGAGGCTTAAAGCATTCATATTTCATCCTGTCTTTCCTTTTGCATCCTTTCTTTAACGATTCTATTCCACCCTTTCTTTGAGGCTGGTGTAACTCTCGCCACCTACAGTCGGATTTAAGCGTAGTACAAAAAATCATCCACTACAACGTCCTACTCCAGGGGAAGGATACTGCAAAATCTCCATTCCCACCCCACTCCAGGGATACTGTAAAATCTCCATTCCCACCCCACTCCAGA